TCGTCAACACTGGGATAATCGACGCTGGAGCAATGTGATGTTTTCAGATAAGTCAAGGTTCACTGTTGATTTTTTGGACAGACGTAGGAGGGTGTGGCGTCGTCGAAACGAGCGCTTCCAAGACGTTAACGTCATCAGACATGATCGATTTGGGGGTGGTTCTGTTATGGTGTGGGGAGGCATCACTGTTGCTGGAAGAACGGCTTTACATGTTGTTGCAGGGCGTGTTACAGGCCAGTACTACCGGGACAACATCTTGGCAGTCCATGTTGTGCCGTTCGCATGACGTCATGGCCGCCGTTTCATCTTCCCGGATGACAACGCAAGATGTCACAGGGCCAGGATCGTTACAGGTTACCTCCAACAACAGAACATCACCACATTACCTTGGCCAGCACTGAGTCCCGACCTCTCCCCCATCGAGCATGTCTGGGACATGCTTGGACAGAGGTTACGTCAACGTCAACAACGTCCTGCCAATGTCCAAGAACTTGCTGCTGCGTTGCAACAGGAATGGGACAATCTGGACCAAAATGACCTTAGACGTCTCATTAGGAGTATGCCACGTCGGATCAATGCTTGTTTGGCAAACAGAGGAGGATTTACCCGTTACTGACTTGGTTGTGATGCTGTGGTAACTTTGCTGTTTGACCCCGGGTATCATTTTACCCTTATAATGGTCAGTCTGTGCCTTACTTAGTCTAACGATCATTTGGAATAAATCGATGAATGTGAACTTCATTTCATTTTGTCATTTGTTTCTTCGTCAGTTTCATTAGGTGACTTTAATAACACTTAAAAATCAAATATCCCCTACTTTTTTGAATAGTATATGTATTTTTTTTACATGTAATCTTTTTCAATAATATTATTTAAATCATTTTGTTGAAGTGTCACAAACTTGTTACATACTATACTTTAAACCCCCTTTGTTGATTAATTAGTCATGGCCTGGTGGACCCAGACTCTAAACAATAGATGTGGGGAAAGTGAGCTCGGTAGCAATGGAAGCAGGTGTGACTTAGAAAGATGGCCGTAATGACTAAAAAATGCTATAGGTTATGTTCCTGTGTACATTGGTGGTTAGAATTATAGATGTAGTGAATAGTAATTTTTGATATTGTTGAAATAAAGTCGTCAAATTCACAGCCATCGTTATCATTAGATCTTATGTTACATCTGTTTACTGTCATAACAACGGTAGCTTGTCTGCAATATCACTTCGATGGAAGCGGACGTTAAATAAAGCTATTTCACACACAACGGTAGTAATGACATTCGAGAATGTGCTATTTCCAAAACAGTCCTAACTTAGCTCAGAATGATGTAATTTGACATTTTGAACAAATTCTCTTCTCATTATCAATATCTATTTTTAAGCTATCATAGCGAGAACTGTCACCTCTTTATCTAAATCTTACATAATGCATCTTTAAATGTTTTAAATTTCATATGGCAGTAGCAAGTACCGGTCATTGTTCATCCGTATCGTTAATTTCTCAAATGATCATAACTTTTGGTTTGTAAAATGAAATGCGGTTTAACGTCCGTTTGGTTTCTACATGTATATGGCAGTATTACCCACTCTGCCAGTCTTCATCAGTATATAGATTTTATTTGGAATTCTACTATATTATTTTAGACCCAGCTTAGCTTACTGTGAGAACAAGAAAGATCCACGAACTGATTATACTGAGCCATATCAAACAGTAAATTACGATCATATTATGATATGTGTCACATGATATATATGTATGTAATTTCATGCGTAGTTAAGCACGTACATTCAATGTGAAGCACTGTGATTTTGAGAGGACAAATCCTATCGATATGCAGTATTCTGAGACCTTACGTACCAGAGTTATGTCCCCGTTTAACACTGTATCAATTTAAATTTCAATCGGATATTAACTTTAGCCTCTGTGCGTATACAAACTGACAAAAACATTCTTTCTGCGTTCATTTTTCATACAATGCTGTCACTGTCAAAAAGGGGCATTGTGGATGATTAGATAAAGAGCTGACAGTTCGCACAATAATAGTTAAAGATAGGTTGCCAGGCAACGAAAATACGCCCACAGCAGCTAAATCGTCCGGGCAGTCACATATTTATTCCTTTGTAGGTAACTGGGGGCCTTTACAAGAAAGTTCCATACAGATCAAATTATAATTTTTGCTGTTTGAGGGTTCACAAGGTTCTACAAATTGAAACAAGGGTCTCAACTCTGGAAGTAATCTACAGAAATTGTTGAAATTTTATAGGCTTTTTCGTTTCACAAATTTAACTGATGCATATAAATTTCATACATATCAGATGATAACTTTCATTAATTGAGCATTAACAAGGTTGAACAAAGTTAAACAAGGGCAATAACTCTAGAAGTAATAAACCGAAATTGCTGAAATTCAATAGGATTCTTATCTTTACTAATTTAAATGACGCATGTAAATTTCATACAGATCAGAAGATAACTTTTCATGTAAGAGCGTTCACAAGGTTCAATAAAGTGAAACAAGGGCCATAACTCTAGATGTAATAAACGGAAATTGCTGAAATTCAATAGGATTCTTCTCTTTACTAATTAAAATAATGCATATAAATTTCATACAGATCGGCAGATAACTTTTGATGTTAGAGCGTTCACAAGGTTCAATAAAGTGAAACAATGGCCATAACTCTAGACGTAATAAACAGAAATTGCTGAAATTCAATAAGCTTCTTCGTTTCACTAATCTAAATAATGCATATAAATTTCATACAGATCTGCAGATAACTTTTCATGTTAGAGCGTTCACAATTTTAAGGTTCAATAAAGTGAAACAAGGGCCAAACCTCTGTACGTAATACGTGAAACAAGGGCAATAACTCTAGAAGTAATAAACCGAAATTGCTGAAATTCAATAGGATTCTTATCTTTACTAATTTAAATGACGCATGTAAATATCATACAGATCAGAAGATAACTTTTCATGTTAGAGCGTTCACGAGGTTCAATAAAGTGAAACAAGGGCCATAACTCTAGATGTAATAAACGGAAATTGCTGAAATTCAATAAGATTCTTCTCTTTACTAATTAAAATAATGCATATAAATTTCATACAGATCGGCAGATAACTTTTGATGTTAGAGCGTTCACAAGGTTCAATAAAGTGAAACAATGGCCATAACTCTAGACGTAATAAACAGAAATTGCTGAAATTCAATAAGCTTCTTCGTTTCACTAATCTAAATAATGCATATAAATTTCATACAGATCTGCAGATAACTTTTCATGTTAGAGCGTTCACAAGGTTCAATAAAGTGAAACAAGGGCCAAACCTCTATACGTAATAAACAGAAATTGCTGAAATTCAATAGGCGTCTTCGTTTCACTAATTTAAATAATGCATATAAATTTCAGAAAGATGGGTTGATAACTTTTGGGGTTAGAGCGTTCACAAAGTTAAACAAAGTGAAACAAGGGCCATAACTCTAGAAGTAATAAATTTTACAAAGATCGGATGTTAACTTTTGGCATTAGAGCGTTCACAAGGTTCAACAAAGTGAAACAAGGGCCATACCTCTAGACGTTATAAACAGAAATTATTGAAATTAAATAGGCTTCTTCATCCCACTAATGTAAACAACACATATCAATTTTAAAACAATTGGATGCTAAATTTTGCCGTTAGAGCGTTCACAAGAAATTGTGGACGATGGACAGACTGAGTGACAGACGGACGGATGCGACGGCAATATACGTCCACATTTCTATGTGGGCGTATAAAAATCGATAATATACAGAGAATATGACGAAAAATTCAGTCAAATTACTTCACTCGAATGTAATTGTTACCATCGTTACGATAATAAACAAAGTCTTGAATATCCATTTTTATAGTTAATCAAATCTGTTGAAAATCAGACCCACCAGATGGCATCAGATCGAGAATTGATTATGGTCTTATCATGTTAATAAATTCTAATCAATAGAACAGTTAAGACCTAAATAAAGACCTGTGATGGGCATATTTAGCTCTTAATGTACATTACATTTCATTAATTACATATTTATCTCCGGTTTTCTCCCACTGCTAAAGACCCCTACGCGCAAGCGAATTATTGAAATAAAATCAAACCATATGTTAGTCCCGAAATGACCTAGTTTGTGTCGATTGGATGTTAAACCCCCTCTCTCTCTCTCTCACGCTCACACACATTTATCTTTTTCAAAAGTATCTAGCAATCTAACTTATTATCTCTTAGTCTAACCATAACATGTTCAGGATCAAACTTAATCATGGTTTTAAAGTACCTTGTAGCGAAACTATACAATGTTTTATCACTCTTCATCAGTCTTGACCAATCAGATTGCTTATCTCTACTTAGCCAAAGCAGAATTTCTCATCGAAATTAGTCAAAGTATTGATATAATGAATCTATACTGGGGAGTTTCATTACTCTCACCCAATTAGAACCAAAGTTATGTGTTCCAAACTCTCAGCCAATCAAATTGCTTATCTTTGCTTGGCCTTTGTAGAAATGCTCCTGAATGAACTCTTGTCAAGCCATTCATTTAATAGATACCTACACCAAGTTTGAAAATTCTACCTTAATTAGGAAAGTTATTGTGTTCCAAAGTCTCGACCAATCAAAATTCTCATTAACTTAGTAAAGGTGTTTCATCACTTACACTTAATTAAAACTAAAGTTATCGTGTCCCAAAGTATCAAATAACCAAATGGCTTATTTCTGCTTACCCTAAAGTAGAAAATACTCATCTTCGAACAGGCATCCACCTACATGTAATAAACACCTACACAAGTTTGAACATACTTGCTCAAAAAGTGTGGCGAAGACCCATTTTAAAAAATCCCCTGCTTTCTTTGAAAAGTGGGGGACAATAATCAGCAGATGTACTCTTGTGTAAATGCTATCATACAAGACGGAACACGATCCCTAAACTTGTTCTTAATTATGTATCTTTTAATTTCTATTCACTTACACAAACTCAACTTCAAAATGTCAGTCTACATCTCAAACCTATTCATAACGTGATCAGGTGGAATCGCATGTCATTCTTTAGTACTCTCATTTAGTACATGTATATTTATTTCATTGATATGACAATTTTAAATTTACATAAAAATACCACAATAAATAGACATTTCTTTATCAATAGTTACATATGTATGTGAATACAGAAAATATAAATGCACACATATTTAAACAAAATTGGGCTGCACACGAAACATGTACATGGGAATGATCAATCCAAAACTGACCACATGCTCAGTTGCAAATCGTGAATTAAATGAATAATGGGTGTTCGTTTGTTTCAGTACAAAAATTCTGAATGTTAAGTCAACTCCATTAACACTGAAAACCCAAAACAAACTTATGGCACCCCTGTAAACAATAGCAGTCTATTTTAACAAACATTCAAATGGACATACATGTATCTTAGAAAATACAGCAAGTGCATTTTCTTGATAGTTTATGACAGAGAATCAATATAAGCTAGCGCTTTCAGTGGATCTGAAAGCGCTAGCTTGAAATATGTAGTTTGTTTTCTTTTCCAACATCTTATTTATATATATATATATTTAAAATACAGATGTGACGTCATCCTTTGATGTTGGAGTACCATTATTTCAAATAATCGTACGGCCCTCATGTTGTTACAATATATTACTTAATATCTCGCTCTCGACCATTAAACAATACATATTATTTTGCCATAACTATCCATAGTTTTCAAGCCTTCTTTTCAGCTTGGGACACCCAACCAGTATGAGTTCTCATGTGTTTCTTTACGTTAATTTTGCGGGTAAATGATTTACTACAAACATCACAATTAAAGGGCCTTTCACCAGTGTGAGTTTTCATGTGTGTAATTAGATTACCACCATCAGTGAATGATTTACTACAAACATTACAATGATAAGGTTTTTCCCCAGTATGACTTCTTATGTGTATGCTCAAACCTCGAGGCATGCTAAATGATTTACTACAAATATCACAATAATAAGGTCTTTCACCAGTATGAGTTCTCATGTGTTTCTTCAGAACATATCTCTCTGTAAATGATTTACTACAAACATCACAATTATAGGGCCTTTCACCAGTATGAATTCTCATGTGTGACTTCAGACCACTTCTCTCGGTGAATGATTTACTACAAACGTCACAATTAAAGGGCCTTTCACCAGTATGAATTCTCATGTGTGCTTTTAGATTACTACCATCAGTGAATGATTTACTACAAACCTCACATAAAAAAGGTTTTTCCCCAGTATGACTTCTTGTGTGTATTTTCAGAGCTCGAGGCATTCTAAATGATTTACTACAAACATCACAATTATAGGGTTTTTCACCAGTATGAATTCTCATGTGTTTCTTCAGATCACTTTTCTCTGTGAATGATTTACTACAAACATCACAATTATAGGGTTTTTCACCAGTATGAATTCTCATGTGTGACTTCAGAACATATCTCTCCGTGAATGATTTACTACAAACATCACAATTATAGGGTTTTTCTCCAGTATGACTTTTCATGTGTCTCTTTATACGTTCCTTTGTGAATGATTTACTACAAACATCGCAATTAAAATGTTTTTCTTCGGTATGAGTTCCCGTGTTTATTTGCAAATCTCCAAAATCAGATTTAGAACTTGATTTACAACCTGTTTGATAGCTTGTTTCATCAAGGCAAGATCCATCTACATCAACACCTTTTTCTTCTTTAACATTTACATCATCAGTTTTCCCTTCTTTAACATGATAATATTCATCTACATCATCAGATGTTTCTTCTTTAACATGACAATATTCATCTACATCATCAGTTGTCTCTTCTTTAACATGACAATATTCATCTACATCATCAGTTGTCTCTTCTTTAAAATGGCAATATTCATCTACATCGTCAGTTTTCTCTTCTGTAACATGATAATATTCATCTACATCATCAGATGTCTCTTCTGTAACATGACAATATTCATCTACATCATCAGATTTCTCTTCTTTTACATGACAATATTCTCCTACTACATCATCAGTTTTCTGTTCTTTAACATGACAATATTCATCTACATCATCAGTTTTCTCTTCTTTAACATGACAATATTCATCTACATCATCAGATTTCTCTTCTTTTACATGACAATATTCTCCTACTACATCATCAGTTTTCTGTTCTTTAACATGACAATATTCATCTACATCATCAGTTTTCTCTTCTTTAACATGACAATATTCATCTACATCATCAGTTTTCTCTTCTTTAACATGACAATATTCATCTACATCATCAGTTTTCTCTTCTTTAACATGACAATATTCATCTACACCATCAGTTTTTTCTTCTTTAATATGACAATATTCATCTACATCATCAGTTTTCTCTTCTTTTACACATATTTTCTTGTGATTTTCTAAATTATCATATTGTTGAAAAATCTTGTCGCATACAACACATTGATGTAAAGTTATAACATCATTAGTTCCCTGTAATATATAAAAGTTATAACATCATTAGTTCCCTGCAGTATAAAACAAGCCGTTGCCATCAAGATACGCCCAAATTATGCAAGAAATGGCCAGAAAACGAGCTAAAAAAATGTGATTGTGATTTTTTTTTTGTAACATTAGGGGCCATAATCCAGGAAGTTACGGTCTGATATGCACGAATATCAAAATTAACCAAGATCTTTTGAATATAAAAACATATATTTTAAAGGAGAATACTACCGAAAAAATTGTTTTAATATGAAAAATACGTTAATATTATAATATTTTTGGCCCTGTGAAATTGCAAGTCATTCTGAATATTTTTATAAAGGAAAAATGTACCAAAAGAACCCGAATTGACATTTATGCAGCCTCGCTTTGATTTTTTCCGTAAGTGACGTCAGAGACGACAGACGTTGTGAATTTCCCAATAGAATGCTATTGCAACTGAGCATTCATATTCCTGAAGCAATGGCCCGAGAAATCCCTCTCTGGCCATTGCTGGATTAGCTTCTGATACTTGCGCTTTCGAGGGAGTGTGTCTATTCTTCCCGTTCAATCAAATCTATCCCCAAGTACAGCAACATGACAGCCCTTCTTTTAATCAGGGGCCTTCCCTAAAACTTTGGACGGTGATTAAAGGTATTAAAAACGGTTAAAGTGTTGTTCGTCTCAAAACAATATTGTTTACATTATATCCATGTTGATAGCCTCGTTTGTCACACAATTAGTTTTCTGCAATATTCTGCTATGCACTGGTTAACTGGGCATAATAAAATCGCGAGTCATGACGTAACGTTATGTAAACATATTTGGTCCAATTTGGAGCTCTGTTTGGTATTGTTAAGCAGTTAGCTATTGGTTGTTAATCGGACTATTGACCAGGCATAATTCAGAACGAGAATTTGCTTTCTTTACAGCAGTGAGTAGTGGATTAGCTGTCTAATCAAACGAAACACTAGTGGCGAGGAGTATGCTGAGCACTGCATCCCGTCATTTTGACCAACTGGAAACATAAACATGGTCAGTTGCGTTGCTTGATGATGTACTAATAGCACCAACAATACATCAGGAAACATGTGTCATTTTTTAAAATTTTCCAAGGTAGGCAACACGCAGAAAGGTCTGGACACAGCGATGTCAATGCAATGCGACGAGAAGGGCTGATCTCCATCTCTTTCTTCGGGGCATTTCGACGGAGTATTTCGAGTTATCTGCTTACAAACGTGATCCTGCTCATTGAAGGAAGTGGGATATGAAAACCAAAGAGCGAAACTCAAGCCAGATGCCTTGCCCAGTGCCCGCACCGTTCCCGAAGAAAATGTTTGTTAATCTTGACCGTGCAACTGCGACTCGAGGGGCTTACTGGAAGCGACGCTCGAAGGACTTACGTGACCCTCGTCTTTCAATTGTTGCACAAATAATTAGGCTAGGGCATATAATACCGTATTACTCTATGGCTAGAGTAAACTTATTGGAATTAATAGTTTTTCCCCCGATAAGCATGAACATCTATGAATGAAGCGAAAAGTTAATGAGAATCAAAGGACTGTAAAAATGGTAGATTGCAACATGCTTAAGGGTGAATCTTGCGTTTTGATTGGTCAATTAGACACTGTCGATTGGACAATAACACCCCTCTGTTTTAGCAAGGGGTTATAACTGCGTATAAATAGTACATGGTCGCCGTTGTTACTCGCATTTCTAATTGGCTAGTCCTGACAGGGAGGAACATTTGGCGGGAAATCAATGTCTGACAAGCTGTCACTTTCTGCAAATGCCATATTGAAAGATACATTGACTGCTACACGAGTGTCGCCTCTTATGTTATGTCACGTGACTTAACTTCAGCTCTTTAATTGTCAGGTGATTCCGTAATTGGGAAACTGTTTTTTTTTTACCGTTATTTGTTACTAAAACTATTTTTTTTTTTAAAAAAAAACCATAACAATTCTGAAATGCCTTACACATTGCTGTAGTGTGTGTGTAATTTGTTAATATTTATTGGGCCTACAAGTTAATGTTAGGACCTACATGTTCAACTTTCATGAATTGGGTACACAATTCGTGTACCAATAGTAAAATGTTTATTTTGTTTTAAATATTGGTTACTAGCAGGATACCCGGCTTCGCTCGGGGGTCATAACTCCGAAATCGGAAGTGGTAGACTAACGCCACCTGGCCTATGTTACTCCCCAGTCCGAGCTACCCCTATACCCCAAATTTCAGACTCGGGGCAGACCTAGTGTAGCCGCCAACCCCGAACAGACCGGCTTCGCTCGGGGGTCATAACTCCGAAACCGGAAGTGGTAGACTAACGCCACCTGGCCTATGTTACTCCCCGGTCCGAGCTACCCCTATACCCCAAATTCCCCCCTGGGGTGTAGGGGGTGATAAGAATATACCCTTCGTATGTCCTGCGTGTCGTAAAAGGCAACTAAAAGGATCCCTGTATTGGGGCAACGTGTTTGCCGTGCGTTGCGGCCCGTGTCGGTGGAGAGTGGAATCCTGGTAATTGAGTGGGGATTTGGCTTGCGAGCCCTTTCGCTGCAACACATTACTTTGGCCCATGGTTCACCTAGACGGGAGGTCATTGTGGCCCACTCTGATCAATCGACTTTGGTCGTTTTAGCTCTGTAGAATGTACATTTCTAAATTTCAATGCTTAGTTGTTTTCTATACTCAGAAGAATTACCTTTGTGTCCTGAGTACATTCTACAGAGCGGCGGCTTGGGTCAATCAGGTTAGATAAGTATTTTTACTTTCTGGCTTGAGTATACCCCTCGTCGAGCCCTGAGGCCATGCGCCGGATATCCGCGCTAGTCCTCCCCTTAGTAGGCAGGGAAGTAACCTGGGGGACGACGAGGGGTGAATCAAAAAAAAAAAATTTCATGGATTCCCCAGTCCCCCCCACACCAATAAAAGAACGAAAAACTAAACAGAAACGCCCTAATACAGAGGACGTTTCTGATTTATTTAATTTAAAAAGCAAAATTTCAAAGGCATGGCCGAGGTTTCTCTTGATTGAGAGTCCCTCTACAGACCTGTCCAAAGTTTCACCATTTTTAATAACCAAGGGCATTGCTGGCTTAGCCGGTGAGACCAAGGCTATTAAAAAACTTAAAAATGGAACACTCTTGATAGAATGTGCCAAAGAGCAGCATGCTACCATGCTGCTTAAATCAACATCTTTGGCAGACATCCCTATCAAGGTGTCTCCACACAGGTCACTGAATTCAAGTAGAGGAGTTATTCGTTGTCGGGATCTTGAAGGCAGCAGTGAGGATGAAATGGTGGAATACCTGTGGACTCGTATATTTCCAACCCTCTTCGATGTTACAAATGCCAAAAGTTTGGACACAGTAAAACCGTCTGCAGAGGTAAAGACACCTGCGCTCGCTGTGGCCATGATGGTCATGAGAGCGCTACCTGCCAGACGGATTTCTGTTGTGTTAATTGCAAGGGTAAGCACTTTGCCTACTCTCGCGAATGTCCTATTTGGCAAAAAGAGAAACGAGTCCAACAGGTTATGTCTGAACGTAAAATGTCATATTTTGATGCCAAAAAGCAAGTAGAACTTTCTACACTTTTTCCCATTGCACCACAGGGGAAAACTTATTCAAGTGTAGCCAAAGTTTCTACTAGAACCATTTCTGTTCAGACAGATTTAACCTGGCATAAAAAAGAGAAAATGCCTAAAATAATATCAGATCATGTAAAAGGGGTATCGGGCTCATCGCAAACCAGTGAGAGCGCGATTCAAATTATTAATTCTTTGCCTGGCGAGGGTTCATCTTCCTTGCCTCAAACTGAAGATGTTGGGATTATTCCTAACTCTTCCCCCCCAGAACGGCAAGGAGTCATCACCCTCGCCACCCCCTGAAACTATCACGCTTGATTCCAGTTCTACTGGGTCAGGCTCGCAGCTAAAGGGTATTCTACCAACACAAGAAGGTCTTTCCAAAAAATAAAAGAAATTGGCAAAGATGCGCGAGAGAGAGAAAAAGGGTTCACAAAATCCTATCTCTCTCTATAATAGATATGGGGATGATCTGATGGACGGTATTACCGTCGCGGATGTTCATAAGGAACCCGTCGGTAAGCCGCCAAAAATTAACTATCCCTGACAATGGTAAATTCCATTATTCAATGGAATTGTCGTGGTTTGAAACCAAATTTTAATGAAGTTCAACTTTTAATTCAAAATTTCAATCCTTTAGCTATTTGTTTACAGGAAACTTTCTTGCGGAATTCTGACACTTTGTCTTTTAGACATTTTGTTAGTTACCATCAATATTCAGCTAATGATGGTAGAGCTCATGGGGGTGTATCCATTATTCTTAATGGAGATATCCCTCAGAGTCAAGTCGCCCTAAACCCGCCTTTACAGGCAGTTGCAGTTAGGGTGACTCTGCATATTCCTATAACACTCTGCTCTGTATATCTTCCACCAAGTTTACATCTTAATACCAGAGATCTTAATGACCTTGTTGCACAACTTCCTCTTCCGTTTATTATTACGGGAGATTTCAATGGTCATCATTCGCTCTGGGGTAGTCCAGATGATAACAACAGAGGTAAACAAATAGCGGACTTCATTAACATTAATAATTTGTGTTTATTAAATGATGACTCGCCTACTTATCTACATCCTGCCACAGCTTCTTTTTCTTCCCTTGATCTCACCATTTGCTCCCCGGTCCTGTTTCAGGATTTTACATGGAGAGTAAATGAAGATCTGTGTGGTAGTGACCACTTTCCTATCTTCATTGATAATAATGGTCCCTCTCCAGTCGAAAGACCTCAGAGGTGGAAGTTGCATAAGGCTGATTGGGCTCTTTTCGAATCTTTGTGTCTCTTCTCTTTTGATACAAAAGAGTTAGAAGATGCAGATGAACCCATGGCCTTATTCACTTCAATTCTTCAAAATGTAGCTGAGCAGGCGATTCCAAAAACCACGACTACACCAAAACATTTCAATAAACCATGGTATAACG